TATTGGCCAGGAAATAATACAAAGTAGTTATCGAATGTTTACCAGCCTATTGACTTATTGATTGTCTAATAGAGAAAACGTTTAGAGAACCACTGGCCACCGAGCCCTGAAAATAACCGACTACTGAGGCCGCAGCACAACAGGGGCGGGCGCCAAGTGCACCTCTTTGATCTAAATACGAACCCCAGGAGCTGGCTCAGGGGTGCTTGCGAAGGCTATCTACTGTTGCGCAAAAGTGGTTGTCGCTGTACGGAACAAGATTACTGTAACGGTCCGTATGAACACAACCAGCAGATAACATGTTGCTCAAGAGAGACAAGAGGCACTGTTGATGGTCAGGGGATTGAAAGAGCAGAGCTGCATGGAGTTTCACTAATTTCCCATTACTATTAATTCACATCCGAGCATCAAAGAAAATTAGAGAACACAGAACATTAACTAAGTGAACCAGCTAGGCAGCGCTGAAGGTAATAAGGAGATTGTCTAGGACGAATTTATCAAAAGCCGAACTTCAGCAAATGCAATTAGAAGGACGGCCCAGCTGAAGTTGTACTCAGATAGAGATATTCTGTATTCGTTAGTCAGTATTCGATGTCGTTGGGCAGATAGCGCTAGGGAGAACGCTACTCCTACACGGGCACGAAGCATACGCATGGAAGCGAAACTGAATTTTCGGATGTTAGGTATTCCCTACCCCTAACAATTCAGCTTCAACAATCCATTTTGTGCATATCCTCCACGTGGTGTTGACCTCACATGCATGGAAGGCGTGGAGCATACACAGGATGGGAGGTAACGGTGGCTGCCGGGGAACAAAACAGGTCAATAGATAATAAAAGGGTCACATTCCCCGTCTTGTTCACGCTCTCTAACAAGGGGAGGTCTTTCAAGTGGACCCGCTCTCTCAAGACGGATTTTTGCATGATGTAGAGTAATGTGCGTGGAGTACAGAAATGTAGTCCGTTTCCGCTGAGTGGCCCTCTGAATGCCAAAAAAGGAGTGGGGAAATGGTCCTTGGTTCAATTCCCCGCGGTGACAAAATTTTTGCATTCTGGTCTGACGCCAAAAATTTGACATCAAATGACGTAAACACCAGAAATTGGAAACATTCATAATTAGGCTTATCAAAAACCCTCATAAGTAGGCGTATACCAAAAACTAGTGAGAGAAAGTTGCGACGTAGAAACGGCATCAACGTGCCGTCGAACAGCGTCATAGGGGTCCAAAACGATGTCGGAGCCAGAAACGAATATCATATTCATAATCAGGACACTTGATAACCTTTGTAGTCGAAGTTTCTAAGAAAATCAAGAATTTGAACCAACTTCGAAAAATTACTCCATGAGCCCTCGTACATATGTGTAGCACGTCAATCTCGACGGAACTTCTTGGAAATAACCTCTTCTAGATTCCTCAAGAAATGAAATGTTCCTACCGTACAGACAATAGCAGACACCCAGGCTGATGTTGGTTGGCGGAGGGAAGGAAACGCCACCCACAATGCAGCAGTTATCTGCTAGTTCTTCGCGTGGAGCTCGCCCTCAAGCGACTGGGAATGCGTGAAGTTACTTATGCTGGGTGCAAATTTTCGAAGTTTGGTCAGGGATGCAATTCTGCTCAAAGCTTTGGATATAAAGGTAAATCAGTGCTCTGATTACGAATATGGCATTGTTTTTCGGGCTGCCGCTCTCTAGTGCCATTTCGACGTTACAAGTTTATTGCTGGTTCCGGTGAAAACTTACCCCGTTGTGGTTATTAATGGCTCTGACCTAGAATAAGACATCTATTTTGGCATTAGTACAATTTGGAGCCATTCTGGAAGTGCCAACAGAAAATGCAAAAATTTCGCCGCCTTGAGGATCCGAACCAACAACCCCGACCAAGCGTGCTATTTGAAGTCCGCATCGTTATCCGCTACACCACCGACACAGCAAGAGCTAAATGCACTAATGAAACTTCTGTACAAGCTCTTCAGTACACAGCTTGATATCGCTACGACAACTTTCCAATTTTGGCCAATCTTTGCGTTGTT